TGATCACAAAAAAATTTTTGAATCCAACATACTCTAGTGATCAACTAAACAAAATTCAAGATGAAAAAACGTTTATGCATTTTTTAGCTAGGTTATACTAATTTTTTAAACGGACAAAAATGAATTACTAAATCATTGAAACGAATGAAATACCTACTTTTTAAAAGGATCGTTGAGTTTTCCTTCCATGTCTTTTACCGGATAACTTGGGTAAAATATGCAATTACTACTGCTACAGTTCTTTCAATAAATCGAAGATCGTCGAAAGAGGAGAATTTTTTCTTTATATTAGTTTTTCAAATGTGAAATAATATTTAGGAATGTTGTGAGTAAACACTAGGAAATAATTTGTGTATATAATTTATGATGCAAGTGGTTAGATTTTTTAATTCAACGTTTTCTAAAAAAAATTTTTTCTCCGAAGCATGACAAAACATCAAGAATTGATTATGATTTTTATCTTTTGCTAAGATTTAATTTATGTAAATTTCACTGTCGACTCATATTAAATTAAACGTTTCAATTTTTAATAGTACATGACCGTATGACAGGTATCATATATATACTATGAATTTTTCAATTGAATCACATGTTAGATTAGATAGTGCCAGTCCAATTTTTTATTAATCATACTTATAAGGTAGAAATGTACAGATATAAAAGAAGATTTTAAGACAGTCATCGAGACCAAAAAAATTATTGACTACTTTATTTGAGAATTGTAAAATTGATGGGAACTATTAATATGTATCCCAATTACTTGTTACAGTTGTTTGTTCTTTAGTTATTATTTGTTGAATTTTTTAAATCAGTACAGACATTACAAATCTCGTCATTTGACTTGTTTTACTAACATGCTTTAATCACGTTAATTAGAATAATAACTTTATAGCTTGGCCTAATATATTTTTATAGGAACTCACAATTGTAATGAGTTGATGTAAAATGTGTGTCTTGATTGATATTTCAACTACGTTTGTATTGTATGATTTTTCATTTGTATCATAACGATTTATGTAAAGAATTAAATTATTGCCCAGGCATGTTTTATTAAACAGATTATTATATTATATATTAATTAATAGGTTAGTAGGAGAGAAATAATAAATTTTATGATTAATTTTGTTTAGTAGATATTCAAATATTGTCCCATTCGTTAGTTTGTCGATGTAATTTTTACGATTCATTCACGATAAAACTTGTAAAAGACTTACTGATGATCGTACAAATATTAGTTTTATAATAATGCTAACAAAATATTTATAGCCAGTCGTTTTGAAACCATTCATTTTTACTCTAAATGTTAACAAGGGATGAACGATCTAGGACAATCCAAGAAAATATGTCTAGATGCATACAAAGTATATTGAAAATATATATACATATATATATTTTTTTGAAACTTGCAACAACAATAAAAATACAATGTTTAAGAAAATTGTGTCTGTCTACAAATAAACTTGAAGTACCTTTACCAGTGTAATGAAACTGCGCAGGTTCTACTGAACAAACTTTTTTAGAGCTCGAATCACGTTTACTGTCAATTTCAGTAATGTGTGAAGTATAAACACTGTAGAGTACAATAAGCACAGCAACGTATCGCATCTTCAATGATTGATTATTGTCAAAGGGGAGGACCAACTTAACTTAAAAATATACAATTGTTTCAGACCACAGATAAATTTTGTTGTTCCTTTTGTTTTTACACTAGCATTTTTGTTGCAGACCGTAAATTAAATTCACATAAAAATATTAAATGCATTTACTGAATTGCTGCGGTGAATATATTCAAGTGTTGTACACTCACGGGGTTAGAGTTTCGACTTCATAATACACGGAACACACTACGATTTTGCGTGTTTTCAAGGAACATTTATTGACAGTAATGGCAGTGGTGATTTTAAAATAAGCAAATAATAAAGTTTGTCTTCCCAAATATCGCTCTGGCTTTGGATTTATTGAGCTTCACATAGTTTTAAAGTGACGCAATCTAAATGAGAGATGTACGTAAATGTTGGCATATTCGTAATTAATGACTCTTGTATAATTGATATATTGTGGTTTTTTACTGTTTCTCAGTAAGCATTTATAAATTATTTTGTAAGCTTAAAAATAAATAAACGATTAGAATGTTTTCAGAGTTTAGTGTTTGTTGAAGAAAACAAATACATTGATTTTAAATTTCTTGCAGTACTACATAATTATTAACTTGAATGCGATCCGGAATCATCATAATGTAACTGTTGAAATTTTTGTATCTAGCGATGATGTGCTCTATTAGTCGTCGTAATACTGTCGTATTTGAAATTTAAAATAAAACATGTGCAGCCGTATGCAGTCCAATAAAAAATTGCTCAAAACAGTGCAAAAACAATTTTTTTGGAACAGCAAAATATTTTATTTTAGATCATAATTACGAGGATCAATGAACCTTTGAATTATTGTCCATTCAAGTTAAAAATAAAAACTGATACATTAAATCGTTTGTATATTAAAACATGTTGGTCAAACTTGCGCTTTATTTGCTAATTTATTTAATCAAACAAATTATCCGTCTTCTGGACAAAAATAAAAGTCGCATTAATCAAACGAAAACATTTTTGAAATTCAAAAACTCACCCTATTAGCTATGAACAAGCTATATTCACTTAACAGCATACATCAGCAAAACTCAACATTAGCCATGTCTTTCACAAAATTCCGGGTTAAAATACTCAGGACACCCAAATATTTTTTACAATGAAATTACAAAATTTTGACGTGCACAAACTTTTCAGGATAAGTAGTGATAATATCTCCACACCTTATAATTTATTCATAAATGTCATTGTAACGAATTATTTATGGACGTTGTTTGTTTCGTTTTGAAGTTTTTTTTGGATTCAATATTGTGTATGGATTCTAATAGTAATAATTAAAATGATAAAGTTGTAAAATTTTCTATTGCTCGTCAAAAAGATGAGTTTCAGCATCTTACATCCCGATGATTTATATATACTTTTTAAAATAAATTAAGCAGGTGATTAGTTAAATAAAAGTTATTTTCACTTGTATGTGTGCGAATACATTGCGTTGGCCTTGTAAGGTAGGAATTTGAAATGAAAAAATAAGAATCAGATCTGCATTTAGCAGATTTATATGTACAGTTCGTATTTTGTAGTAAGAAATTCAAACAAATTAAAATGTCTTCATTACTTCAACCAAATAAATATAAAATGGTCGCTCAGCGAAAATTGCAAATTACTCTCGGTAGTGTATAATAACGCATGTAATGATCGACAAATTTTATTTTTGCATAATCAATTGATGGACAGGGAAAAATCTACACTCGTTTTTTCACTCCTCGTTGACGACCAGATTCAAGTGCCACTGGAAACAAAATATATATATTATACTATAATACAGAACAGGCCGAATTTAAAAAAATAAGTAATAGTAATTATTATAATTACGTTTATAACAACAATGTATCAATTAAATGTAGCAAGCTGAAAAAAATTTTATGGGTAAAAAAGGCGTAAACATCAAAGGGTTCTAATGCCCTTGTGTTTGTAGTGTTGGTATGTACGTGTTTGATTCAATGTCGTACCAGTGTGCGACGTGACCATTAAATTTGTTGATTTACGAATAATACAATAACTATTAAATGTATGTCTTGGCCACTGTGATTATAAATTAAAGTAGGCATTTACGCGCCAAGCAAAATGCGTGTTTATGAAACTGTCTCTTGTGATGCTTTTCAATACTCGAATATTCGTATGTAATAATGTTCTGGCACTCCTACGATTTGTGCATTCTAGTTCAAAATACACGAGAGAGATTTACTCTCTTTTTCACTGACAGTATTTTTGGAAAATTATAACTTACCGGCACTTATCTTTTTTATTTTTGTTGAATGGCATACACAAGAAAATTATCATCCTGAAAATTCTAACGACAAAAATGTACAAACTTAATAAGAGCAACTAAAGTATATTTGCGAAATATACATAACCAAAATATTTACGAAGAAGACCTAAAAAAAAAAAAAAAAAAAACCGAATACAAATAGGTACATACGAGCATACATAAATTTTATATTACAACAAGCACAGATAGAAACGTTAGTTGTAAGTATTTTTTTATCATTCAAAGTTCAGAACTAATAATATGTATATGTACACGAATTTTTGCTTGTATAATAATTGTAACTTGATGATGTAAACGATTCGTAGAACGAATTTTCTTTAATAGTTCTTATATGTTATGATGTATATTTAGGTAGTGCATCCATCAGTTAAATTAAAAATTGTAATTAATAAATTATAGATATTGAAAATCTTTAAGCATTTGCTTATTGTTATTCATTTTTGTTCTCTCATTTACCTAGTCTTGTTTTTATCTTTGTGGTAAGTATAAGAAACGGAATTACGAAAATATAATTAGAAAATTCATCTTGGTAAGATGGTACAAATAAGAGTTGCTAAATTTATACGGAAAACTATTATTGCATATCGGGTACGATTGGTACAATTATTTTTTATTAGAGAAAAAGTACAGTTGTAACAGCACACATCATGATGTTAATTTTTTTTGCTTCTGTATTCACGTTAATTGTCTTTCTTCCAACCTATGGCATTTCATTTGATTTTGGATGTTGGTTGCACCATCGAAAGTAGAAAAAACGTGAGTCCTCATATAGTCAACCTTGACTCCAATAGGCTCAGCAGGGGTCCGGGCTTAACTCCTGCGGTGATGGCTATACGAGATATCATAAAATGTGACTCCACTCTAGGGGCGGTATAGTGCGTAACTTTGTTTACAGCTAAACATTATTCGATTTTCATTTTTGAAGACAAATCAGGATATTTTTTATTTACTTTTGCCGTATACAGCATTGGTCAAAGATCATACGTAACAAACTATCAATCCTGATTTACCTGTATGCGTACACCGAGTACATAATTTGATACACGGAAGTATTGTGTTTCAATTATCATTTAATTAAGCGTTTACATGCGGCAAGAGTAAATGTCGTACTCTTTGCGATAAAATTATATTGCAGAGCGAAATTGTAATTGAAGCACTTTGATGAAAACATCTCATGGTTTGCTTTTAACTTCAACTCTGCTAACACTACTTGCCACCATAGTTACGGAATTTTTCAGTTTTGGTAGTTAAATAAATTTTCAAGACCCAATTTTATAAAATGCAATATTCATCAAAACTTGTCTGACTATTTTGGGGTTTGCAGTACATTTCATTCAATATGTGTGGGCTTTGAATCGCCCACCGAAAGCAAGAACGAATCTTCTCAACTCTCGTTCGTACACTTCAACCAATCAAAACTCGGTTTGATCGACATGGCACGCATGCGCCCATTCTCGCGCCGCCCGCGCGCTCTCGACTATAGAGAGGTGCCCGTGTTGGTCCGCAACACTCCGAAGCGCTTCACAATCACATCAGTTGATGACTGATCGTGAAAGTGTGCACATTGAAGTAATTGTCTGCAAGCGCGTATACCCAGTGCGGTACATTGTTCACCTCTCGGTAAAACCCAGTTTGTGTGTGAAACTTTTGAGTGATCAGCCAAGTAAGCAGGTGAGTCGATTCGGTTCATTTCTTCAACAATTTTCGCCATTTTTGGAGTATTTACGTGGCTCGTTTCATAAGGTTGTTTAAGCTCGAGGCGTTCGGGAAAACGTTCGTGCGCGTTGCGGTCATGTGTATACTTAACCGTGAAAATACGGGTGGCCAAGCCGTTCGGTGTAAGTAGTTGTTGCGCGGCGTGCTGTGTTCCTCCTTTTCGCGTCCGTGTGCCAGCCGCCATTTTCACTCTAGGCTCTTGGAGGGAAAACTATTTCGAGTGAAAAACTTGATTTTTCTTACTTTGCAACAGACCAAGTTAACCAAATGGAAATAATTTTTCCCAAAGATATTCAAATTTTTACTGACGATCGGATTTCGGATTTTTAATGGGATCCCTTTAACGTACTTTTATGGGGAGGGAGAGCGCGGATCTGTTGTCTTCTTGTCCCTCGTCTTCTCTCTCTCCCCCCCCCCTTCTTCGCTCCTCAATAGTTGAACGACACTGGCTCAAACGACTGATAAAGCTGATTTTATGTTAATTGAAATTTTCAATAATTATTTAATCACCACATCCAAGTAATGTCGTTTTTAAAGTGATATAACAATAATTAAAGTATAATTAAAATTTTTTTTTTTTTTCCCATTAGTAAACATACCGATTTTTTTCAGAAATGGCACGTACTAAGCAAACAGCCCGTAAATCCACGGGAGGAAAAGCACCCAGGAAGCAGCTCGCCACTAAAGCTGCACGTAAAAGCGCACCGTCGACCGGAGGTGTCAAGAAGCCTCATCGTTACAGGTAAACACGATTGTTCAACGATGCGCTCTCATCACGTTTATACAGAGCATTTTTTCTAATTTTTCTTTTTTTTTTTTTTTTTCTTTTTTCTTTCTCAGGCCGGGTACTGTAGCTCTTCGTGAAATCAGAAGATACCAGAAGTCAACCGAGTTGCTCATCAGGAAATTGCCCTTCCAGCGTCTTGTGCGTGAAATCGCTCAGGATTTCAAAACCGATCTCCGTTTCCAGAGCGCGGCCATCGGTGCTCTGCAGGAGGCCAGTGAGGCGTATCTCGTCGGTCTCTTTGAAGACACAAATTTGTGCGCCATCCACGCCAAGAGAGTGACCATCATGCCGAAGGACATTCAGCTGGCTCGGCGAATCCGAGGAGAGCGTGCTTAAGCAGATAATCAAGTTATGGAGACATTGTTTCGCTTCTTGGTTCAGTATAATGTTTCACTTCATTGCATTTCCATGCATACGAGGAATAATGTTGTTGTAATACTGATCCTCAAACGTATAATAATACAGTAAAGTGTACACTATATTGATACAAGAAGTCAGCGTTCATTTTTTTGTTTATCTCATTAGAAACAACTATATTGCGATATATCTCTCACTGCCAAATATTGAAGGGATTAAATTGTTGTGGTAGAGCAGATGGTATTTTTTTGTTAACATATATCTATAGTTTTGACTTAAATACAAGTAAGATTTTTATTTTTCTAAAATAAGCTCCATCCATGGTCAACGAAATTGTTTAACTTTTTTTTTTCGACAAAAACCATAGAAGTTATATTTACATTCATTATAAATTTTAAAATGATTACAGTGAACAAAATACAAAAGTTGTTCGATAACTTTTTACTTACTTGAAAATTTACACGGAAACGTATGCATGTAAACATATTTGTTTCTTGTACTTTTTTAGAATGGATAATAAGTGTAACGTTATTACTGTAAGGAACAGAAGGCTGCAGATTATTTACATTACTTCACTATGCTTAAAGACACATTAAATCTTCCGTTCATTATTGGGAAATAGTTAACAATAATTTGTCTTCAGTGATTACAACAGCTGATTGCAAACAAAAACAAAAGCCTTTATTACTATGTAACTTCTATTTAGGTGTAAGATACGCTGTAGATGATTAGATTGACATTGTGATTTGGTGTTTGGACATAAGAATAGAAAAAAGTATTTAATTGTAGTTCTAGATCTAGCTTTCATTCTTTAAGCTTCCAATTAAAGTATGAAAAATTCGGTTAAAATAATTTTAAAGAAGAAATTTCTTGAAAATCTTAAACGTCATTGTAATTATTTCAAAGCTGGCAGCTTATGATTTTGAGTCTATTATGTGTGAAAAATTGTGAGTTTATGTGAATGTCCATTTGGAACGATTGATTAACCTTATGTATAAACTAAATATATGACAGTCAAATTATTATAAAAGTGTATTAACATGTGTAGTATATAAAATAGTTAATATACATTATTACTAAACAATAAAATTGCTTGTATTTTTTAATTGGTCCTTTGCCTAATTTTTAAAGATAATTTTAATTTACGTGGTTGGAAGTAGATGAACGTTTCATTAAATATTTTACTAATACATTTAAGCCAAAACAGTTTATATTTCCATTCATATGAATATATACATTGAAATTAAAGTTTTCGCCGAAAGATCTACATCACTAGTAATAAAGTCTGTACGTACATATATATATACATACGATGGTAAGTGTACCTTCCAATATCTGTTCTCCCTCCCCCACCTGGAAATTTGAAAACTAAGTAAACGGTAGCAGTCAATTACACGTAGAAAACACATCTGGTATACATGGATCTACTGTAGTCTGACTTAAAGCTTGCCTTAAGACCTATTTATTAGAAAAGTATTTTTACTTTTTCGTGGTGCGTATATTTTATACGTGTTTGCGTGTACTTACATAAAAAATCTGCACACGCATATGCCGAAAGGATGTGAGGAATAGACATTCAATTGATTCAACTCCAGAGGATACATGATATTAAAACATGGCGCTGACGCACTTTTATTAAAAAATACATACACACATACGATATTTGGCATTGGGTACTTGAGTGTCGGGTCATAGAGATGGTATGGTGCGGGTGGGTTGCTGTAAAAATTACAATTACATCCGAATACCTTGTACCACTACACGTATTGCGATGAATGATTTATTCAACTACGGTTTTTCTTCTTCATATCTACAATTCTGTAATCAAAATTTACTTGAAGAGAGAGCGCTTGTTTCTTCAACTTCCGCACTTCCGCAGCGCAAAAAACCTACTTGTCTATGAGTATAGTCATAAATTTCGTTGTAGGTAAGAATATGAAAATGCGCGAAAAAAACAATTTATTCGTAATCGAACATTAGTGACAATAATGCGAGTAAGTAATTAAGTACATTGAGTACTTGAGTAATGTTTGGGCACACCTATCTCACATGTAGGTGTGTGCGACAAACGATTAATTAATGTTATCGTCTATTCCCCCTCATACTATCGTTCATAGTCTCTCTGATGGCATAGACGTAAGTATATGTGGGGTATGCGTTCATGAGCAAGTTGCCTGTTCTTTCAATTCATTCCTATATTTACTTTGTCATCGATGCTTCAAAAGAGATACGACAGTCTTTGCCTGCTTATGGTTGAAAAAAAAAGATGTTCTTGAACCCGTTCACATAATATATATGTAAAGTAATTGTTCTATATCGAACGCGAATAAATAAGTATATATATATATCAAGTACTACGTGCACGCAAGTGCGACATTAACAAAAAAATGTAGACGTTAAATGCATTTATTTATGACGAAACTTTGGCAATTTTCGAAGGAAGGCTTTATAAATTTGTATTTCAGCTCACATTGAAGACTGTAGAATAATCAGTCTTACATATACGTAAAAAGTCTATTTAGTCTGACTGTACGTGTACATAAGTATACAAAAAAATGAGTACATTGTATTAGTCATCATACGCTGCCAGACGACAGCTGGCAAGTACTATATAGAAGATGTCAGTATGGTAGCTTCACACTTGGTACGCATTGTATCAATATCTGTATAGGGTTGGTGATTGGTGCACCCGTGACCCGTACTTGGGAGTTGGGTTTGCCGCGCCTCACGTTAGCACGCCATACAACGAGCACCTAGACGGCATCATCGTCACGTCTGCTTTATTTCACGTTTCCTGAACATGTTGGGGCAGGGGAAGGGGGGAGGCAGAGAGATGGCGTGCGCACCGCCACCGCGGTAAACGTGCCGAAGAGAAGCGTCCAGTCCGGAGATCTTTCGCTCGCTCACACTCTCACACAGACAGTCCACTGCCATCTGTGCACTAGGAGACACCTCTGTAACCCGAGTGAAGTGTGCTGTCTAGGCCTCGTCTACTTCGTCCTGAGGTGAGTTATTTATCCTTCGTCCCCTAATTTCTACTTTAAAGTGTTCCTGACGCGTCCAAGATCGCGATTTTCGTGTTTTCGGTGATACCTCGTGTCCACAAGTGTCAGACAAGTGCGCGCAAAGTTTGGGTGCATTGGTAACAGCAGCAGCTATACGACCTCCATTTTGTGTATGTCTTGTTCATTCGCCATTCTCTCTCTCTCACGATGCAATTGACGTTTGAGCGAGCGGGAACAGATCCAACACGTGAAGCACTCGTGCATCTGTTTCCTCAAAGAGGTGACGCTGCTGCTACTGTCGTCCTAACAGAGGAAAGGCGATGCCAGTGGTGTCTTGGTGCATGCCCTTATGTCTCTACGGAGAAGGTGCTCGTGCGGGATATCGTGAGTTGCGGCTGGACGACGACCGCGGGACTCTTTCCTATTGTATATAGCTTGCACAGCGGAGACGACGCGCGCACACCAGCGGCAAAGCAGCGGCGGCGCGAGAGAGAGCCGATGATCGCGCATCCTTTTCTTTCTTGCGGCGGTGGCTGCAAAGTCGGCAAAGTCGCTCCGAAAGCCGATTCACCTATTGCGCAAGCCCGGACTTTTGTTGTGGGTTTCACAAAGGAGTGGGGAGCTTCGTTAATGATGATACATATATATGTATACACATACAACACAAACCCCCCGCTACGGCTCCCTCCACCTCGCGAAAGTCGCGATGTTTGTACTCCAAAACTTAGAAAATTTAAATTCCGTCAAACAATTGATGTTTTTTACTAAACCTTCCCCTTTTTTCGTCGTATTTACTTTTGCTATTCTGATTGACATACACATCACTCGATATTTAAGCGACTGCATTTTGTTTCTTTGCAGTTTTCGAGAAATTTATTAATTTGACGCAATGGCACGTACTAAGCAAACAGCCCGTAAATCCACGGGAGGAAAAGCACCCAGGAAGCAGCTCGCCACTAAAGCTGCACGTAAGAGCGCACCGTCGACCGGAGGTGTCAAGAAGCCTCATCGTTACAGGTAAACACGATTGTTCAACGATGCGCTCTCATCACGTTTATACAGAGCATTTTTTCTAATTTTTCTTTTTTTTTTTTTTTCTTTTTTCTTTCTCAGGCCGGGTACTGTAGCTCTTCGTGAAATCAGAAGATACCAGAAGTCAACCGAGTTGCTCATCAGGAAATTGCCCTTCCAGCGTCTTGTGCGTGAAATCGCTCAGGATTTTAAAACCGATCTCCGTTTCCAGAGCGCGGCCATCGGTGCTCTGCAGGAGGCCAGTGAGGCGTATCTCGTCGGTCTCTTTGAAGACACAAATTTGTGCGCCATCCACGCCAAGAGAGTGACCATCATGCCGAAGGACATTCAGCTGGCTCGGCGAATCCGAGGAGAGCGTGCTTAAATGTCGTTCAACACATATTATAATACATTTATAACTAATATTATTATCGATAGTTTGATCTTGATATTACTATTCATAATAATGGATGGAAGTGTACATTCATTCCAATCCACGTATTGTGTTGCGTGTAATTATAACTTTGGCATAAGCATTAGTACATTCACTGTTTACCTTAGATAGTAACTTTAAAGCTGAAAATGACACTTGCTTTCTTTTTAATTAAAATCATTTTAAAATTTTCAAAAAGTAGTACATGGTAACATCAGTACTACCTCTATTATAGATTTACAAGAAGAGTAGTCATCTAATAATTATTCAAACTTCATTGGTTACAAATTATGATATATGAAAACAAGTTTGTTTGTAGCAGATCACTCTAAGTATTAAAATAGACATTCATTATAAAAAAAATTTTAATTTTAGTATAAAATATCATCATCGTTGTGCAACTGTCATCCTTAAACCAAGTATAATTAATTTATAATGTGTATGCTTATATGAATATGTATGTTTGTTAGTGTTCATATTCATATATTTATTCACAAAAGAATAAAAAATGTGCTCTTAGAGAATAAGGTCTCTTTTTTTATAGCGAAAATTACATAAATGGACTTTGTCAATCAAACCCATTGTCCTTTATGTTAAAAAAACGCATTTCATAAATAAATCATTTAAAATAATAAGATTTCTTATCTTTCGACCTTCATCCTTATCATTTTATAGTTGAAATTTGTTGAAAAAAAAAAAAAAAGTTAAGTCTTAAACTTTCACGACTACAGGGATTACATGTCATCTTTAAAAATCCAGTGAAGAAGATTAGGAAGGAGGTAAAAAAATATACATTTGATTTGTTTTTCAAAAACAAATTTTTATTAACAATTTTAATATCTATAGTTCAAAAGAAAATGTTTTTAAATGTATCTTACAGTTTTTATGTGATAGCCCAAATTTTTTATTAAATACGTATTTACACTGACCCTTTTCTATTGGGTTATTCATTCATTTTAATGGAAAATTTTCACATAAAGTTTCAAGCAGTCACTGATTTAGTAAAACTGAGGAACCTCACTTTATTTTTTATAATAAATTAAAGTGTAAGTGGTATTGAAGTATATAGATTTGAAAAATTAAAGTTTTGCAATGGAATTTGGATGGTTATGCAAAAGTTGTCTTCCATTAAATTGCTTTGGTTAACTTTATGAATGAATAATTGAAAATTTACCATAATGTTTCACAAATAATACATTATCATACGGATAACTTCGGCATACAATCCATATTTCTTTAATTTATTACGCTCAAAATTCTTTGCTCATCTGTCTGCATTAAAAAAATAATTTTTACAAATATAATTCACTAGTTGACCTACAGTATATTTATATCATCATCAAAATAATTGAAAAATAATGCTTTGTCCTTTAATTTGATGAAGAAACAAATTAAGTAGAGTACTTTAGTATCGAATATGGTTGTTGTTGCCTGCCACCACGGCAGTTAGTGCTCGTGGTTGTCTTCGATTCCTGCTATTAAGAAAAAATTAAGTATTAGAAAAATGAACTTTTACATCACCACTAAAGTATGGACATCGAGTAGCTAATTTTAAGCACAGAAAATACACCATACAACCATAAAATTGCATAAAATAAAGATGCACAATTTAGGATTCATTTTTTGAAGATTGTTATTAGTAGAACCATTCAGGCTACAAAATTGTGTAATGATATGTATAGGTATTGCAGAAAAAAATTATATCAATTTTATGGAACTTATGTTGTTAAGTAATAATTTAATGAATATTACTTTATTAATAATAACTGTTTCACCAGCTTTTACACTAAACTTTATTATATACAATTTTATGTAACGTTACATAAATAAATACGTTAAAAATTTTTCTAGATACGACTACTATTCGAAAATAAAATTTTCATATGTACAAAAGTATACTTTGGTTGCAGTAAAAAAAAAAATCATAAAAAACAACAGAAATATGTTTCTATGCTATATTTTTTAAGGCAGTACTATTTTTTATGTTCGATGAAACAATTTTTCAAAGTGACGTATGATTTTGAATTTACATAAATGTAATGATTAAGAGCCATTAAATAAATACATATATATGATTGAAACAGTTCAAAGTAAAATTCTAATTTCAATTCTATGTTATTAAATCGTTTATGTGTTACTCTAATGATTGAATAATTCGGTACAGATCTAGATATTATTTGTTTTAACTAATACACTAATGTACATCTCTTACAGTACCAACAATTTTCTATTATAAAAAGGATTAAGTAATTACTTAAAAATTTTGCGATTAATTTAACAAGTAAACGTTCAGTTATTTTTCGAACATATGTATGAACAATAGCACTATCGCAGCATTGCATATAGAAAACTAAGAAAAATCTTGAATAAAAATATAACGGTACGCGAATGCCAATCATTAGTACTACTCGGTAAATCAAAATCAGGCATTTGTAAAAAAATAAGAAACTTTATGTACTATATAAATATTACAAATGTGTACAAAAATTGTTCAGAGTGTCATGACTCTCTTATAAGTATGTAGTTCTAAAATTTGTTTTCACAATAAATTTTTTAAAAAAATTATTGCAATATTTGATTAGAAAATAAATAAAAGATCTAATTCAATGAGATCGCCGGCTGCACTGCAGAGGTACGTGATCTCATCTTCGTTGCATGAACATGGGACAAAAAAAATTAAGGAGTATGGAAGACTAAAACAGCACAAGGCGTGGACGGCATTCCTTGGGTAATTGAGTGTTACCTGTAGAGATCTCGAACTGATTGATCTTCGCGTGTTGACGCGTTTCTACACGTGTTCAATTTATTTTCCAGAGCCTTAAACAAAAAAATATTCGAGTTAGAATTGTGCAAAAAAAAATTTTATCTTAATTAAAGCAGAACCAAAATTAGGCAGGCACTTTAATTTAGGCGGGGTGTATTCATTATATTGTGTTATTAAACTGTACTTCAATGAGATTGCGTTAAAATCACTCAAGAATCGTGTGCATATCTGAGGAATGAATGATGATAAAGGATGAGGAATCAAAAACAGCGTGCAAAACTAAATGCAAAAAGAAACCAAAAAAAGAAAAACCTGTGCCTTATCAAAATAAACGTGATAGTAACGTTATTGTATTTAGAGAGCTTCAGAAAAAGCTCTATGTCACACACAATCAGCACAATTTGGTTGGTCTAGGTTGCTGTTTAATACTGTTTTGAATTGGAGTGTCTACTTGAACTGGTGGTGATTTTGTGGTTGTGGGAGATTGTAACTTTTTTTTTCCATCCGGACAAATACACTTGAACTTCTTACAGTCCATGCAGACCCACCTGTCAAGCTGAATAAATCACAACACCGTGCTACAATACATGTATTTGGCATGTGTTATGGATAACCGAGGAAGCTTTCTTGTCATTACAATATTTTTCTAGCTAACTACTACGTATGTACATTAGTGACATTTCATTTTTTTCCGGAAACGCCAATGAACATCAAATGAAATAAAAGCCGTGCTACAAGGTCAGTTAACTGCATGCTATACAAACACGACAACAAAGAGCAATGTATAGTGCTGTACTTGTAAAGTTAGAATACTTGTGAACAAAAGGTTGAAAATAAATTACTTACCCCAACTTTCTTCATCAAGTCGCCAATCATGTTCATTGCAAGTATTCTGGTGCATGGTGTAAACTGTGGTGGGTTCGTATTGTTGTTGATATTATTATTGATAATACCCCCTACTCCATTTCCAACTAGGTTGCAATAAAAAAAAACAACAAACACACGTTAGTGTTGTACTGTGGTATAAATACAACATTAGACAAACATGTAACTATAATTTTTGTTTAACCAAAAAAAAATGTAGTAAACTTAATTCATATTCAATAAGAGAAAAGATACTAATAAATAAATTTGACATGTGAATGCAGTATGTACTCTAATTAAAAAAATATATGAGAAAAAATAATGAAAATCTATAGATATATCAGTATTTTTTCATTAACAAAAGTTAATTTCACCTACTTATATGCATAAATCATTATTTCAACACTTTTTGTTTCAATGAGTTGATTGACAAGAATGATTTGGTGCAAGTACCTTTTACTTTTTTCACTAAAGAGGAAAAAAAAAAAGATACTTCTGAGAAGAGTTGAATAATTCTTACTTTTTGTAGTAGATGTGTTCAACGGACTAGCAGGTGGTGTGTGAGCTTCCAGTTCAACTTGCAGCTTATTGCTATCCACATGATTGTGAACTCTGTAAATAGCAGCTGACTTGTCATTATCAGCTTTGTGCCTCACTGATACTTGAATTTCTTGTTTTAAATCTGAAACAGACCCATGTTTGCAATTCAAATACAGATATTTTAATTTTTTTCATTAAATTTACTTCAATCACCCCCAATACCTCTGATTTCATCTCTTAGTCTTTGAACGGTAGCCCTCAAACTTTCTTTTTCGTCTAATTCCGATTCAAGTAGAGCAGTCTTCTCCAATGCTACATTAAACTTTGCTTCCATCTCTTCTTCAGTAACTTTGCTTACTCTGTAAACAAGCACATGACAGAAGCAATTGTAAAAAAAAAAAAAAAAAAAAAAAATTTTACACAGACCCATCAGACCAATGAGTCACGAAAAAAAAAAAAAAAAAAAAAACTTTTGTTAAGTCAGCATAAGAGAAAATAAAAATTTTTTTAGCAACCTGTGCGCTCTCTCCAGATCATCATTCTTCTGCTCCAGTTCTCTGACATATTTGAGAAGTTGCTCGTTTTGAATCTGTACCTCCTGAGCCCTATTCTGAAACATCGCACAGTCCACAGCCTGCTGGTCCAGCCTACTCCTGAGTTGCTCGATCTCGGAGACGAGCCTGGAGTTTCTCTGCCTTAGCTCTCTGTTGGCCTTGTCCCCCTGTTCGAGCGATGCCTCGAGCTCCTTCTCCAGTAACTGAGAGTTCTCCTGGAATTCTTCCAACTCCCGCTCGACATCATCTTTCCTGCGATTCATTTGTTATTTTTTTTCATCATTGATTAAAATATGCGATAAAAAAAAAAGCAGAAATAAGCATGATGTATACATAAAAATCCTTCAAGTAAAAATGATTACCTTTGATGTAGTTGCTGCGCAAGGTCCATCCAGTACTGGATCTCATCATCTTTACAGTTGAACTGCGGGGGAGAGTCAATTTCCATCATGTTTGCAATACCAACACGTCGTCGTACTTATTACAAATAAATAATCACACTTCAACACAGGTACAACACTGAACAAAAAAGGGCTCTCTCGCAATAATTTGTTGAAGTGTCACTCTGCTAATACTAGTACGTAATGATGCTCATGGTGACAGCAATAATTCACTGCGATACCCATTTTTTAATCACAGCCATACCATAATTATAACAAAAACACCTTATACACCTACAAATACGTCCATCGCACTTAATGGTAACTAAGTGGTTCCTATTACTGCACTGTTCGTCATTTAGGCGAATTTAAAGAGTTGCCTGATGCTAGGCATATAAAGTACGTTTATTGTAGATCTATGAGATACGCGCAAAATTCAGTCAGTTGTAAAATTTTCCGTTTAACTTTTATGTCTGCAGCAAGTTTTAATGCGAGAGAGATGTCCTGCAGCAGCAGATGGACTCTGATTTTTCCCGTCCCAACTTCCAAGTCTTCCAACCAACGAGATGAAACAAAATGGAGGCGTGTGTCATTACGTTATTTACGTGTGTGCTGTATATATACACACATGCATTTTCTACACATGCATGCACACCTCTGGTAGTCTGGTTCTGGTGTAGTAGATACTCTGTCTCTCTGTCTGACTCTGTTACAGTATATCTGTAAGTATTTTAGCCTGTACTGCTACTACTGCTGTATGCTATGTATATACCGCAGTATAGCAGGGCAAAAGAAACAGTTACATATACATATAGAGAGAGGAGGGTAACAGTAAGCAGTTTTACAGAACTTACAACGATGCGCAGCCTACTTGTGCCTATTTTCCCATTTCATTGCTACAATAAATGCCACATTGCCAACATGCCAACCTTTCGCATTTTTGCAACTTACATTTTACTGAATTTTAATGAATTTCCTTCCCCCCTCCACCGCCGTACGTCACACTTTGTGCACATATGATGTATATTTATATGTGGCGATCGATCAGTGAATGAGTGAATGCCGTTAATAAACGTCAAATGTCTTACGTAATAAATGTTTATTGTTAGACTTTTTCGGAAATATGGTCGTATAATTATGTTGAAAAGTTAGAATAGAACAAGTACCGGCTATGTAGAGTAAAGTGGGAGCGGCGCCCTTCGTGCAGTATACACAATAATTTTTCCTTATTCTCAAATTGTTATTCTTAAATAAGGTATGTTTTTTTCTGACTCTACAAATGAAGTATACGCTCTAAGAATGCAATACAATTTTATTTTTGTCATATAAATTAACAAATCTCGATGGAAATTTGGGGGGATTTAAACATAATTAAGATAATATATAAGTGTAGGGGTTTGTGGGAAACAGAATTTGAAGCTCCCCCTGAGCACATAAATAGACGCTCCATATATATACTTTCTACTTATTTGCACTTCAAATAAACAATGAATTCTTATTGAATTTTCCTACATTCTATTTAGTTTTCAAATTTTCAGTACAATTTTACAAAAAAAGAGTTTTTAGATCACAGTGAGCCAAAAAAAATCTCTTTATTCGCTCGAGCCGATGCAGAGGTTGCGCCCCCTCTAGCCAAAATCAGGCAACATTTCTTGCATGTAAGCAAACGGTTTAGAACATATATACATACGTACAGCTGCTTGTGATTGGCTGAATAAGACAGCAGGAGAGGATCGTCGTTCTCTCTCTAGCTTGCCAAGTGCCAATCACGTATACGTATGTATATATGTTCTAAACCGTTTGTTTACATGCAAGAAATGTTGCCTGATTTTGGCTAGAGGGGGCGCAACCTCTGTATCGGCTCGGAGCGAATACAATAGAGAAAAACATCCGCTAAAATTTTCTCACAGTGGCATAATACATGATGTCTGGAGATTTTTTCTTATTTTCAATTCTTGATAAATTTGCATGTGTGAAGTAAAAAACAGAATTCAGAAACTTTGCCAGAATCCCTTCCAAACATTGTGTGACAATTTATAGAGACTCACTCAACAGCGACTTCGAAAAGTTATAACTTTTTAAACAAAAAAAAGAAAATACAACTTGTAACCTACTGCTGACAAAGAAGGAGACGCATCATGCAAGTGAACCCTATATACCTCCCTATACTGATGACTTTACTGTTGACTCCACTCTCCAGTTAGTATAATAATGTACCTATAGTCAAAATTTAGTATGACGATTTTTTTTTCTGTCCGTCAAGAAAACAGTGACAACTCGTTCAACTCTTTTTGGCAAAGTTTTTATACTACCTAATTAGTTAGGCCCTCGAAGAAAAAAATAGTGCAATTGTACACGTTAAATCGAAGAATTTCGTCATCATGCCTATCATTGGTATCAGCAGCAATTTCAACAAGCTGCTTGGTTAGTCGACAGCTCGTCTTTTCTCTGTCCTGGGGCCTCTCTCATTTCCCAGCAGCTCATGTTACAGGTACCTAGAGTAGTAATTCGATTGATAATTTTGGTCTTGCTTTTCAGAAAAAGCTACGAGCAATCTGAATCTTGAACCCGAGTGGCCGACTATCCTGAGCATTTGCGATCTTATACGTCAGGGTGACGTGAGGTGAGACTATACGCGCACACAATAAATAAATGTACTTACCTATACTTGTAAATTGGCACTAAAATATTTATATATTATGCATAGGCTGCAGTGCAGTCTTTTTGTTCTTTTCCATGCGGTGAGTCAAGCTGATTGTAATGATCATTTATTTTTGCTAACAAACAGTAGTTGCGCACTTGATGAGTCAGAATTTCAAGAGTATACCTATAGTTTGTATACATCTGAAATGTTTATCAAGTCAACATTTCATCATCACCAATCAGGTTGACTCGTATCGGTCGGGATGATTCGATAGTGCCACAATAAATGAAATATTTTTATGGGTTCATTGATTACATCCACTTGATGACAAATATTTGCTAATTAAACGACAATAATTCATGTTGTAGTCCAAAAAATGCTCTTGTAGCCATCAACAAAAAAATAACTCATGAAAATCCACACACTGCTGGATTTGGTTTACTGGTAAGTAACTTTATTTATACGCTAGGCATAGTAAATAAAGACAAATGCTGATGAGATGTACACTCAAGGTTTTGGAATCTTGCGTGAAAAATTGTGGTTCTCCAATCCACGATGAAGTTTGCACCAAGCAGTACATGGAACAGCTCAAGGAGATAGCCAAGACAACGCAGCAGGAATCTGTGAGGAAAAAAATTCTCGAACTTATACAAGCTTGGGCTTATGCTTTCCGAGATTCTCCAAAATATAGAGCAGTACAGGTATTCAAATTACTGTTGCGCTTGTACATTACAATGTGTTATTGAATATTAATTTTATGTTTGGTTTTTATACCCAGGACACTATGAGAATCATGAAAGCTGAAAACTTTGAGTTTCCAGCTCTGCAAGAGAGCGATGCTATGTTCTCCGCTGACATTGCTCCAGAATGGGTCGATGGTGACAAGTGTCATCGTTGTAGAGTAGCTTTTAATACTTTTAATCGCAAGCATCATTGCCGAGCTTGCGGACAAGTGTTTTGTAGTCAGTGCTCGGGAAAATTTTCAACCATACCCAAGTATGGCATTGAAAAAGAAGTTCGTGTGTGCAACACTTGCTATGATCAAGTCAACAAGTGAGTACTAGTTTCGATTGTAATAGAATAAACTGTTTTAAATTTGGTATTAGCCGTATTTGTTGTAAAATAATTATGTTGATTGCAACACCATTCACTAGGCCTGTTGTCGTAACGTCAAAACCAGAAACAGACTTGCCCATAGAGTATCTCACAAGTTCTTTGGCGCAACAGCAACAGGCAAGTACCTTGCAAAGCATCCGTTTGTAACGACCAATTGAATTGACGATATTTTTTTTTAGGTGCCACCAAAAAAAACCGAGGAAGAGTTACGCGAAGAAGAAGAACTGCAGATTGCTTTAGCTCTAAGCCAAAGTGAAGCTGAACACAAAGAGAAAGAAAAAAAGCGTGCCACAAGTGCCATAATATCAAATTCAACTGCTTTTACGAAAATACATTATTCCCCGCCTCCCTCTCCAGTGAGTATTTTAAAATCATTACGAGCTTCCATAAATCTTTGTTTGAAAAATATATGCATCAACTTAATGCCTAAGGAACCAAGTCCTAAAATCATTCAGGAAGAGGAGGAAGTAGATCCTGAACTTGCAAAATATCTGAACCGTCAATATTGGGAACAGCGCCAGTCCGCTTTGGAAGAACAAACCGCAAGATTGAATGTAACGAGTCCGTCGGCGCCAAACATCGGCAGCAGTCCAATGCCGCAAAAAGTAATTGCCATCAAACAGCAAAATGGCGAGGTAGATCCCGAGATGAAGAGTTTTGTTGAGAATCTACGATCGCAGGTCGAAATTTTTGTGAATCGTATGAAAAGCGACTCATCCCGAGGACGATCCATTGCCAACGACAGTTCCGTCCAAACGCTCTTTATGAACATCACTGCTTTGCATTCGCGGCTTTTGAAATACATTCAAGATCAGGAGGACAATAGAGTGTATTACGAGGGTCTTCAGGACAAGTTGACACAAATAAAGGATGCCAGAGGTGCGCTGGACGCGTTGCGCGAGGAACATCGCTTGGCGCTGCTGCGCGAGAAACAAGAAGCTGAGAGAAAAAAGCAAATGCAAATGGCTCAGAAACTAGAAATCATGCGCAAAAAGAAGCAAGAGTATTTGCAGTATCAACGCGAATTGGCTCTGAGAAATATCCAGGAACAAGAACGAGAGATGCAGATGCGCCAGGAGCAACAGAAACAGCAATATAAACAATTGGCAGGGGGATTTCAATCGATTCCCGGTTTTATGGGCCCGCCAAACCAAGGTTCTCCGGTGCGACAGATGCAATTTTCGGCAGGCCCAGAGGCTGCTTACAATTCATTGCCAACTACGAATCCACAGAGCATCTATGCCTATGCTGCTGGAGGTGGTACGGGAACGTATTCGAGCCCAACTAATTGGCCTATGCAGCATCAACAGATGGTCAACCCGTCGGCTATCACCGATACCAAACCTCCCACTGTTGAAAGCCAGCAGCCTGCAGAAAATCCTGAAAGTCTCGGGCGCGTGACCGTTTCAGGACCAGGAATCGTAAGAAACAAAATTGCGTTTAAATATAATTTGAACGCTGAATATTCAATATTTTTCTAAAAATTATTTTAGCAAATACCTGCGATGCGGAATCGTCATTGTCCTGGTCATCCACAACAGCAGCAGCAACAACAGCCACAACTAAAAAACATTCAGATACCTGGTCAAGTTTCCCAGCAACAATCCCACATTCCTACGACAACCCAGTCACCAAGTGGCCATACTCACGTGACTATTGCAAATGATATGCAGATGCCTTTGCATTTGGATTCGACACAGGTACCTCAAGGAGTTCACGTTATGCAGTCTCAAGCACTCGCTCCCAATCATATGTTACCTGATTGCCAGATGCTTCCGCGACAACAAATTGTTATTGGTCAAGGCCAAGGTATACAGTTACAACAAGGCGTATCTGGTAGACGTTTACCTATGCAGTCGCATCCTATTGGTCCTAATGTATCCATTCCAGGTACGTCAGAAATGATGTATTCCATTATGTTTTTCAAATATATGATTTAAAGGAGTTTGTGTAAAAAATGAATATTGTTATTACTAGGTTCAACTCAAGTAGTTATGAGAAACGATATAATGCCTGGTGCACAGCACATGCAAGGAATAGCGCAGATTTCGGGTCCCCAACAGATGCAAGGAGCTCAACAGATCCCAACGTCTCAACACATACAAGGGCCCCAGCAAATTTCAAATCACCAACAGATGATGCAGGGACCACAACAAATACAAAATTCCCAGCAGATGGTACAAAACTTACCTACTGCAGTCTATGCGCCTCTGCAAGATGTTCGAGTTGGACCCATGCAACTGCTACCCCAACAGCAGCAACAACCGCATCAACAACAACAACAGAACCAACAACCACCACTGCATCAGCAGCAGCAGGAGCAGCAACCAATGGTGATTCAAAAGGTAGAAGAAGAAGAAAGAAAATCGCCAGAAGTTGCCGAGCTGATATCATTCGATTAGGACTAATCAATTCATATTTCTTGCATTTACCTACTGAATGATTATATTTTAGGTCGATATTGAAACATGTTGCAAATAAAATTTGAGTAACAAAGTAGATTCTTGTATGAAAATTATCTCTTTATTATTANATTATTATTATTATTATTATGATTATTATTATGATTATTATTATAACAATCTTTATACTACTGTTGTTGATATTAATTTTATTTTTATCAAAATGGTTTCTACAAAATGTGACTGCTATGTAGAGTATAACGCTTGAAACACAGAATATCTATAGTTATATTTGAAACGGGCGTGACTTGTGATCACATGTTTATAAATTGTCTCTTGTAAACTCCTCTATTATTACTCTAATTTGTATAATAAAAAAAAAAAAACAAAAAAAATTCAAACAATCAACCAAGTTTTTTCACTCGTCAAACAGTTGTCATAAATTTTCATATTATATTTCACCTGAAAATGAAATTTATTTGTAGTTCGAGTACCCATGAAAACATAACGTATAAATCGATAGTATCGATTGTAATGAAGTTCACCGAGCTAACGACATAATATAGTGGACATTACATTTTGAATTTTTTAATTTTTTATGTACGAAGTATTTCCCTTAGCTAAAAAAAAAAGGTCACATATTATCTCCTCCGATGTGTATATCGATGCCTTGGTTTTCCTGCAGCTGCAATTGTGATATTCTCATCTACACTCATAATTAACGTATCGTTGAAATCAGTAGTGCATTTACAACAGAAAAAAAAAAATTGAAGTAACCCTTTCGTCGTCGACTAAAATTATTCTCAAACAACAATCGTACTTATAGAAATTGGCTTCAATTACATCATGAGTAAAACAGTAAAAGCTGAGGAACCAGCAAAAAATAAAAACCTAATTGCATTACTATCGTATTTTTTCTCGCAATTTCTTCAATGCCATTGTAGAATCGAATATTATTATTATTATTATTTTTTTTTTCAAGTAGGTCCAGCGATCACCTTTCGGTAAAAATTGCAGGCAACAAAAGGTAAAAGAAGAAAAAGTGCGAGAAAGGAAAAACGGCTACTGCAGTAAAACGCGTCGATCGTATTATTGTACACACGATTGTATGTAGTACGCACATACACGAATACAAATGCAGCCCTGATATCACGAAACGTTTGCCGATGTGCCACAATAAAACGTCCCGAGTTTGAATGCTCGGTACAGAAGATGAGAGCCGCCGTTGCGTTTTATTTCTCAATGCGCCCTCGCTCGGTCGGCTTCTCGTCATTGTAATTTTTTTCTTACTTGTTTCGTACTTTGCGCATCTCCACGTGTGAGCAGATACGTATACATTATGTGGTTTTAAAAATAACGTATTTATTGTTTTTCGTTGGTGTACGCGGAAAAACCACTGGTAAATGGAAATAATAGACAGAAATATCGATTGATTGTGTAACGCGTATATTGTCGAGAAAAGCCAAAAAAATTCAACATCATTTTTTTACCAATCGATTCAAGAAGGGAAATAAAGAAAAATTTATTTATTTGGAATTCCATCGTTTTGTGTCCATCATCCAGCTCGGATGGACTTTGCCTTTTTTTAAAAATAGGTACCCCAATTTTTTCCCCCCAAGCGCCGGTATTTATTGTCTTTCCAGTAAGAATTGTCCGAGACATTGCACAGTTGTAACGCAACACTGTACACGGTAAATTTCGCATGAAACAATGAGAAACCAGAAATAGACGTACCAATCGTAAGTATATATATTTCCATCATAATAATATAAACGTAACTGTACAAACCAGCGACCCGCAATTATTTTTCCTTCTGCATATAGGTGCCCAATGTATACAAATGGTTTTCGCTCAATTCGTCGATTGGTGTGTATATACCTAATATCACAATTTCTTCTTTGACAAGACATTGCCGTTGAAAAAAAAAAAAAAAAAAAAACTTGTTATATACACGTAATAAATGGAGTTTTGAAAATATACATTGAATAAAGCTTTTTGTAAAAGTATAGGTACGTGTAAGTATATGTGCTTTGACGATGCAGAGAAAGGTCATAAAAAAAAAAATAAAAACAAAATTTTCAACATTTGTTAAGTACGTTAAGGTGTAAATACTTATTATTTCTGGCTCTTTGTGCACGGCGAATGCCGTGGTACCGCTTATTTTGATGAATGTCACTTTTTTCTTTTTCTTTGGCCACTGTGGCTCTGAACGTTTTTTATACTTTTTTTTCCCCCGCATGGGAATACAACCAGGTAACGTAACTGAATGTAAGCTTTGGAAATTTAATAGCTTTTGCACTCGTCTGAAGCTTCATTCGAATATTTCGTGCATTTTTTATGTACTTACCTTCATGCACTCGACTTTGACCGAATAATTATTTGTTTGATGTGGCGTATTTTTTATACGTGCCAACGAAAAATGTTGTGCACACATCATCGTACACATTTATTTTTTTACTTCATTGTGTCTACTAAGGTTTTAAAAAGTTGTCACCCATTTTTCTCCATCATTTCATTATTATACCATACGCCTGTAATGATCTGTATAGTGATTCTTTTTTTTTTTTTTTTTTTTTTTTTTATGGAGTAAAAGAAAAAAATTCTTACCTGATAAGTCTGGGTATAGGTACGTTAATAAAAAAAAGTGACGCCAGTTTATTTGAAATGGCCATATATTATTATATGATCGATGCAGTCAGTTTTATGGTTGGCCATGACATTACTACTCGTTCGATTTATACATAAACGCGCATAATTATGTCATCATCCAAGGGATAAATTATTTTAAAGTAGAATATCGTCATTTCTATCGATTTGGTTGTGCCTTGTATTATTTAAATCGAATTAATATGCTATATAACATACCGCAAACTTAACTCGCAATATTGATTTCTTTCTCAAGTCAGTATTAAACAAACAGGTTCGAATGTATATATGCATGTATACCTGTAAATGCGATAACATCATTATATGCCCATACATTACAATATAACAGTAAACAATTGACGTCAATTGCGTATAGGTAAGCACATACATATACCATGTACTACTTACCGTGACACACGTTTTTCACAACGGAGGAAAGAAAAATAAGTATATACACTTACCTAATAATACGTACATGGAGCAACAGTCGCGTTATCGAAGAGTAATAAATGCTTGAAACAATTCGTGTATGAAAAGTACATTCGTTACAAGTATATTCTTTCAAAACGCTCCGAGTATTGAACCATTGGGGTTTTTTTTTTTTTTTTTTTTGTTC